TGGACTCAGGACAAGGTGCTTTCCTATTAGTCTTCCTACCAATATGACCAAGTTGCGACAACAAGGTCAACCAATTTCTATCTCTAAGCATGTTATCCTGCTTTCACGATGTCCGTCACATGACGAACGAGAGCTTAACAAAGATGCATCGCGGTCGCAGATCGGTGCGCCCAGGACCTATTTGCACAAATATGCAATCTCTGGCCCAAAACATTTGGCCCAAAAGTTTCCGATTATATCAATTTACGAATCCTTTTCACTTGCCTCCACTTGTCTTCTCAAAGCTACTCCAACAAGATATAAGATGTAGATATGAAGACCAAGTTGGTGTGGCTATCTTCTTGGTCACAGTCACCTTTATCACCTCTCCCTGACGACGCCGACCACGATGCCGGCGAAATGCTTGGGAATGTACCCAACAAATGGTCCATGCTGGAAATCACGAAAACTACGGCAGAGGACACACCACTAGGTACGTTCCACAAGGTCTTCCTTACGCTCCTTGTGCCAAGTTGCGAAAACAAGCTCAAACCAACACTAAGATATAAGAAGGTTTAGTGCTTTTGGTGAATTATTCCCCAAATGATGTCTTTCTGCTCTAACGATGTCATGATTCAACGCAGTTTCATGTCGCTGAGCCGTCACAAGTCCTCGAGTATGAGAGTATGAAGCGATCCATCTAATACCCATCTTTATCTAAATATTTTTTAACTATCTGTTCGTATATAGCATATAGGATAGAGCCGAAAAGTCTTTTTGACTTGAGTGTTAACATGAGACTTTTGCAAGAATGAGTCCTAGCTCTGAGGATGTTCCACACGTGTCATATAGGCCAATTTATTATTTATATGAGATATATTTCCCATATTTTGTTTACGGTGATGAGGGCTTGATATGAGTAGAATTGACGTTTCCATTTAATTAAACATAGCTTTGCTTTCCCAAAAGGTCTTCTCATCCAGGCAGGAGTGGACTGCAGTTTCGACCTCAGGTCGGTCTTATCAACACGGGAGTCGAACCGTGACAGTGCAGCGCGTGAGCTTGACGCACCTTAAACGAAATAGTGTGAATGCATCGTCCTACTCCTCCTCCAATTCTGGCACATATTTTGGTGGTGGTATCGTAATTTGTTTGTATGCCGTATCTCTCTCATCAGTAGTGTGATAGCACAAACCAAACTTGAGGCTATTCCAGCTTCTCTCTTTCTTTGTCTCATTAAGTCTGCTCAACAGCCATTGATAGTTTTTACTCAATTTCCTACACTCCTTTCTCCTATTTAGAATGTTCATACTTCCTGGCCTTATGCTTTAATGTACAGTTCCCGTAACCTGCAAAATGTGTGTTCTTTCTGAAAAGTATGCCAGCATTGCTGGGCCTTGGGTGATACGGGGCCAATCGGAACTGTACGATGTCACAGCCGGCAGAGATCACGTGATCGCCATTCGTACATTTTGTTGGATCCATCAGGGCTGTTTTCCTTCGACAATGCGATACAAAACGACGGTGCCACCCGTTGGTTGTGGACGGTTTTGAGTCGGTGCAACCAATAGTAAATTATAGCTTTTTACAACGATTACACATTATTGCCACCAACGCCTGTATTGCCATGATTTCTGGCCCGATCTAATCGACTCCTCCGAGGCGACCAACATGCTGGCTGGTTAATGGAGCTTGATCTCAATTTTACCGACTCCACATGCGGACGTGAGGCTCGCCGAATCGACCCGCCTGTATTGCCAAGCCCTAGGCAGCCGCATGGGGAGGGTAGTCGAGACGACTGGACTAGGGTCACAAGTGGCCTGGTCGGCCAGCTCGGCCTTGGGCAAATTGAGGGGGAGGATGGGAGAAAATTTTTTACGATTGTTGTTGCCTCGATCTCATAAAAGGGGGCATCACGACGGCTCACAATTCGTCTGGCCAGCTCCCAAAGTGGACGCGACCGGACTACTCACTCGCGACTACCCACACGACGCGACCTCACGCTGTTCATATCTCCTACACTTCATCGGCTGGTTGGGTGAAGAAGTGATGATTGTTCGAATTTTGCGTCATTTCAACCCTCGGTTGGTCGGTTTACCCAGTCTACCGGTTTTAGCGATCTACCGGTAGAGCCGGTAAGATGAGTCTCGCGAGAGGCAGCTTCAAGTACGTCATTCTCGAGCGGGACTATGGGCTTGGCCCTGCTGTACTGATCCAATCAAATTAATAGCTCCCTACTTGGCCGACCTTCGGATCCCTTCTCTCTCTCTCTCTCTCTCTCTCTCAGTTCCCCTCATTGTCAATCTATCCAAGTGGATTGTTCTTTAGACTCTCACCGACATTTTCCCACCTTGTCGACCCTTGGCGAGGTAGCCGGTTTCAAGGCCTGGAGGCCGGTTCGCGCGAGGGGCCTAATTCACACGTGCTCTTGGGATTTCGCTTACCGGGTCACCTCTGACGTCCATGTCTGTCGGCTTTTTCATCGGTCATAGAGGCCAGTCTACCTGAGCCGGAGCCAAATTTGAAGCCAGAGTCGGAAGGAAGCTCATCTGGACATGCATTCTCGTGGGTCGGACGATGGGAAGAAAAAAAACCCGGCCGTCAATAGCAAAGTCAAAAAGGACCGTGGAGACGTCTGAGGCATGCGCATTCCTATTTTTCGGGTATAAGTAGGCTTTGGAGACTAACAAAAGGTCATAATTGAAGTGTATCCACTCTGTTTCGTCTAAGCTGGCAAGAGTATCAGTAGTTTAATGTGAGTACACTGCGTTTCTATTGAAGTTCTCGCTTTGATTCCCAAAATGTATTCTCATCCGGGATGAATTGCAGTTCAGACTGTAGTTTAATCAACATCCCCAGCGGGACTCGAACCCTGGTAATTTAGCGTGTAACACCTTTTGGGAAAGCAAGTATATGTGAAATCCAATGGAAACGTAAAGTCTACTTATATGCTTGTGGGAAAATTCAATTATCAGTCCCTTTATCACCTTAATAGAAATAGGGTAAATACACTATATATATATATATATATGTCTGTGTGTGTGTGTCTTCTTATTTGACACTTCCCGAGTCTGCACTGACAATTTGACTCTGTGGCCAACCTGAAGCCGAGCATTCGGAAGACCGGTCCCAGATACAACTACATTAGTTTGATACTTGCCGGGCGAGACGACGATGCGATAACTTTACATTACCATTGAATTTCACATATCCCTGTTTTACCAAAGAGTATTATCATCCAGGCAGGAGTGGACTACAATTTCGAACTCGCCCAGGTCTTATCAACCCTCTCAGCGGGACTCGAACCATGACAGTCCCACTGGGGTTGTTGATAAGGCTTAGACGAGGTTGAAACTTTAGTCCACTCCTGCTTGGATGAAAATACCTTTTGGGGAAAGCAAGGCTATGTGACATTCAATATAAATGTAAGGTCTACTCATATCATTGTGGGAAAAATGCAGCTACCAGTCCCCTTATCACCTTAGACGAAATAGTGTGAATACACTTAATATATAACCTACTTATAAACTACTTATGCGGGATGCCAATAGGCCGACTCATATGAAATTGGCCCATTTCATTGTATCTAGTCGGCACAAGTGGCCAACCTGAAGCCG